GGGTTTAGGGTTTAGGGTCATGCTGGTTTCGGATTCCTGTAGGCTGAAGTTGCGCACGGGTTCAAGGCTCTGTCTTGCTGGGAACATGTTTACACATTGGCTTCCTTCGTTCGCATTGCGATGACGCCATGGAAGTCGCAGATGTTTCCGGTTCTGAGCACTCTGATTCCTGTTCCTTTTTTGCTATACTCTTGATTGCAGCTCATAACCCGCCACAGTCAAAAGCCCTAAACCTACAGTGCTCAAGCCTGACTGCTAAAGCCTCAACCCCAAACCCTCAACCTGACCTCAAAGGCCAAACGAGACAAACGAGAACAAGCAAACAAAGCTTCCGAACCCTAAACTCCACATGTCCAAGACTTGAGCTGCTCTCCAAGACAAGGTCCAACATAAGCCCTCTGAGTGTCTTCTGTGTAACCCCTCTAAAGCCCTCAAGAACATGGGGGGGTTCGTTATTATAATGTTAGTATAATATACCCCCCAGACCTATTCTAACTATTAAGGCCCCTATGTTGACAAACTTGCCCTAGACCCTAAACCCTAAACCCTAAACCCTAAACCCTAAACCCTAAACCCCAAGACCTGAACCCTCGGAAGGTCTTCGATGGAGTGCTTGGGCTCGGCTTCGCCGATCTCGCGCACCGGGGAGTTCCGAGCGCAATGCAGGTGCTGGGCAGTGGGGTTTCAGGTTTCAGAGAATGGCATCTCGAATGCTTTTTGTTGTAGGATTTCTTATGGCTTTGAAGTGTTTGTGGTGGTTTTTGTAGGTGTTCTTCTGGCTTTGAGGGGTGTTTACCAGATCGTGAAGTGAGAGCGAACATGTTCTCAACGTGCGACTAGTGCCTAGTGCCATGGCATTTGTAAACTACGATGAAGGCGAAGAGATGATGGTGATGATGATGGGGATGAAGAAGAGGATGATGATGAACATGACAGTTGTGCAGATGCGATGACGAAGAAGAGAATAGAGAATGAAGATTGTCATGGTGGCATCGCATGCCGAAGAAGGTGGTCAGGATAAGCATACTTTGTGTCGTCAGGCCTGCGTGGAGTCACGGACACCGCACCCCACGGCACTGTGCATGTCACATACTGCCCTCGTCAATGGAGCCTATGGTAAGTATATTAAAGAAAGCTTAGGCCTTAGGCCTTCGTAGAGCGAGCCATCCATCCCCGGGATTTCCGCCGCCATGTCGACCGCGAAGTTGGAGAAGAAGATTTGGAAGCTCGAGACGAAACTGCGAGAGGAATTCCGAGCTGAGCTGCAGCACACCATGGCGGACTGCATTGCGAGGGTAGAGAAGCTTGAGTCTCAAATCTATAATAAGCCGATTTTCCCTCGCAAAACAAGCGAAGAAGAGAGCATGATACAGATTTCGGTGGACTCTGCGATCAACACCGTGCCGAGGCTGAATGGCACCCATTTTGATCTTGCTTTGTGGCGCAACCGATCCAAAGAGCCTCAACCACGCTCAATCTTCAACACCTGGCCCCGCTCCAATGAAAAAGCGGTTTCGGTTTTATCTAGGGTTTAGGGTTTTTTGTTTTTAGGGTTTAGGGCTTATAGGTTTTATGGCTTATGTAGGGTTTAGGGAACCCTAAACCTTAAAACCAGGCTGCGAACCTGAAAGATTCGTTCTCCATCGACGACTTGGCGGTGCCGACGGCGCTCAAACCTGTCCCGGCGAAGATCGTAGCACCTGTGGCAAAGCTGCTTGTTCCACGTAGCTCGCGGTTTTTTTTAGCCAAATTCTGTAGCCACGCCTAATGAAGTCATGCCATGGAGTCCTACCCACTCAGAGATTTGGCTCCTGGCTTATGGTTAAGAGTTCAGGGTTTTGGGTGATGGCTGCGATGATCTCAGACTGTTTCATCATGATGGTCTTTGTTTTGATAATGTGGTTATGATCAAGCCTCGCGAGAAGTGGGATGCACCAACACCACAACGACGACCAGGACGACGACGACGACGACGACAACTACTACTACTACTACTACTACTACTACTACTACTACTCACAACATTAACAACAGAAGCAACAACAACAGCACCAGCACCAGCA